AGTTTATGGTGAAATATCAGTTTTATTTAGCAAATGATAATAGGATTAAGAATATCTGTTCCTAGAATGAAACCTTTCTTTTATAGTCTTAATGACTGTGTCATTGAATTATTTTAAATTGTAAAACTGTCTTCTAAGAACTGAAAGGATGTCTCTAGTGATTAACTTAATATGTCCTCATTCTGTCCCCATGGTGTGGCAGACAGACACATGCTGCTTTCCACTTTACAGGTTGGATACTGGGGCATGAAAGCAGTATAATGCTTTGTTAGAGATGACCATATTAATTAGATACAGAGATAATAGAGACAGGATGGGGCCACGGCTGTAATTTACACTGTAAATTCTGGCAAACAAGATAGACTTTCTCATGTATGGAGACTTTGCCTATGCTGTCAGACAGCATGAAGTAATGTATATTTTAGAAATACTCTTTCAAAAAAGAACATTTATGTTTTGTTACTATGATGCAATGTGAATAAAGCCTTACTGAGTTTCACATTTCAAAGAGACTAGCATTGCTGTAGATTAGTGCCAGGGCAGAGAAATGACCCTGTTATGGTAAGATTGGGTCTTACAAGGGAACTTGTGTCATTAAGAGTGAGTTGTTCTCTTGTGGATGCTTTCTTCATGAGTTACTAACATGAAATCAGAAGGAATTATAGACCCTGGGGACTTGGAATATAATTTAAAGGTTTCAGTATTTACCTTTACCTGAAACATCATGTAAATCTGTGTTTACATGTGCTTGTAGGTGCACACACATGAACACATGATTTCATACCTCCATTTCTTGGTACACAACTTTTCTTTCTACTTGGAATGCCCTTTACATGATTTCATACCTCCATTTCTTGGTACACACCTTTTCTTTCTACTTGGAATGCCCTTTTTATTTTCTTTTTATCTCTAAGACACCTGTCAATTTTGTCCTCCTTGACGGTGAAGCCTCCTCAATCTTTTTAACCAGGTTGTTGCTTCCCTCTGTATTCCTAGAGCAGTTTGTCCCCACTGCTATATCATGCTTTTATTTGTTTGCTGATCATCTCTTTCCATCTTTGTAACTCTCAGTTGAGCGTGTGCTTTTCAAGGACAGGAACTGCCTCTTTCAATTTCATATTCTAGCATGTCTGCATATATTGGTTATGCAATAACTATTAAAAAATAAATATATAATAGTAAATATGTTTATACACTGTGCCTTGTTTTAAAAATGTATTTAACATGACATAAGAAATACAGCCAATTAGAAAGGAGAGGAGGAGGAGGATGGGAAATGTGACCAAGCATGAGCTAATATATGCTATGAATTTGTGTGTGTGTGTGTGTGTGTGTGTGTGTAATGAATATACGCGCATTTGCAATTACAGAGGAAACATATGTAGAGTTTACAATATACACTAAAAACTAGCTTGACTGATATTTGAGCAAAAAATTGCATCTTTTTAAATTTGGCCTTGGAAAGAAAGATTTCTTATTTTTCTAAGTCACACATTTTTGTCAACATATATCTGATGCTGAAGGGTTTCTCTGTGGACTGCTCATTAGTGTGTAGATTAGAACGTAATCAACATGCGGTAAAATATAGTTGTCTTAGTTAATCTTACTGCTATGAAAACAAGAATATGTAATATAACTGTATAGAGTACTCTTCAGTTCCTGAAGCATTATGATCTAACCCCTCATACCTGCTCTTTTTCCAAAAGCACATAGCCATGGGCTAGGAACACAAGAGAAGTGATTTGAAATAATAACCTCTTGGAATAAATATCTTTCAAATTAATGTGACTAAAAAGTACCTGTGAATTATAGCTTGTTCTCTAGGTGATCTGTTTGTGAAGTTTAAGTAAGCGAACACATTAAAATTGTATTCTTATTCTCCTTTTGGAATTAAATTTATGCATACCTTAAGAAATTTTTGGGTTGTTTTTCATATAAAACTCCTCTTGAATTTAATTCTCTACATGATGTATTTTTGGTGGAGGATTAAGCTTTATTTGCCATGTTGTTCCTTAATTGTTAAAGTAATATGGTCCTACATTCTGGGTAATTTAATATGGTGAAGCAGTCACTCACTGACAACTTTTCAAAGGAGGTGGGCCAGGATGCCAACCTATTTTATTTGGTGTGCCAGCCCATAGTGTTGTATGTTCCAGGAATTTGCTAATCATCAGCTGGCAAATGATTCACAAGGCAGGAAAGAGGACTTTTGATTGGTGGCCACTGACTCACCAGCAAGACAGAGCATGTTGGTGCTTCAAGCTTTGCCTTTTGGCATGTAGATCTCGCTGCCAGGGAAAGACTCGATGATGGCAAAGAGCCTATGTGCTACCTTTGGCATGTTTGCCAGATGTCGTCAGTGTTGTTCTTGATTTAGCAACTTTGGTTTAGCAACTGAGAACTGCTATGTAGAGTTGTGCCCTCTTTGGTGGTGAAGCCTCCTTGGTCCTTTTAGCCAGGTTGTTGCTTCCCTCTGTATTCTACTTAAGTTGAATCTGTTTGTCTGCCTGTTTGTCCGTTCGTCCGTCCATCCATCCATCCATCCATCCATCCATCCATCCATCCATCCATCCATCCATCCTTTGTCTGTTCATCTAATACTGTATTTAAGCCATCCATGGGCTAGAATTAACCTCTGAAAGCATTGTTTAGAATTCAGATTGGCAAACTTTTTCTGTAAATGGACAGATAGTAAATTATTTTAGGTTTGTAGGCCATGCTGTCTCTTGGAACTTCTCACCTCTGCTGGTTGTAGGGCAAAAACAACCATAGGCAGTTAGTAAATGAATGAGTGTTGCTGTGTCCCAATAAAACATTGTTTATTGAAAACTGCATGTTGTAGGATGCACACCCCTTGTTTAGACAGTGGAAGTATATGACTAAACATAGTTGTGTGCTACACAAAAACTTTTAAAAAGTGCTTTTAATGCTTATAAATTTTCTAACAGTGTATCTCTCAGGTTTGTTAGCTTAATTGTTATCTGCTTTGGGGTTTATCTACAAAAATAGTTTTATAGATTTAACCATTTTATTTATTCAAGCATATTGGTGATTTTAAAAAGATATTCATCTCTTTCTAGCACAGTTTATAGAAATGTCATTGGACATATGCAAAAATATAAGGAATAAAATATTCTACCATATCACTAATAACTGCAGCATTAAATTTGATAAATTTTACTTATAAATATGATTTAAAATAACTTTTTCACATGAAAACATGGCCCAGATAAATTTACTAAGTAGAGGGAAAAAAGGGAGACTGTAGAAGGGTTCTTAACAGTGTGTACAATATGATTCTATTTGCAAAAAGAAAAAAAGTTATATATATGTCTATGTATATGCATATTTGTATATTGTAAATATCTAAAAAGACTTTATCAATCAGGGTTTTTAATATTCAAACAGATGAGATCACGCCTGTCTAATATAAGCAGAAAAGGTTTATTGAAGGATGATAAATAGCTCAGAGATCTCCTGAGTGCTCAAGAAGCAGACTTAGAGGCCATATACAGAAGCAGTACCCTAGATTCCACTGCATAACTGGTTTTGCAAAGATTCCTCAACAGCTGTCAGTGGACATGAAATAGCAATCCGAATCATTGCTAACACTGAGCCTGGATACAAGGCTGCCTCAACCATTACCAGTACTCTAGAAGGGATTCTGGACACTTGCTGCTCTTTTGTGTCATTAGCTTCCAATTCAGTCTGGCATTTGTGCATATGATTGGCAGAACACATGTTTTGAGTCCTAGCTGCAAGAGAAGCTGAAAAAGTGAATTTGTGAACCTCACTTCTGTAGTGGACAAAGGTCCTTGCCTCATAAGGTGGAACATTTCCCAAATGTCAGAAGGCGATTAAGAAACCTGAACACCAGAAAGAATGAGAGCTGTTTACTGTAGACATCCAGGAAATTGTTAGTACTGATTACTTCTGGCCAGTGGAGTTGGAATGGCTGACTGGGGAGCAGACGGAATCTTTTATTTTACTCTTCTGTGCTCTTTGAATTAAAAAAGAAAAAAAAAATTGTATAACAATGATAAAAAGGACATGGGGAAAATGAACAAAAGGGAACAACATTTTTTCCTCACCATTTTAACTATAATGCTCTCAGATAGGAATTCAAGGCTTTCCAGCATAACGGGGCAATTCTATCAACTTCCTACTCAGTTTCATTTAAACATTTTTCTTATGATTTCCTCTCAAAATTCAGTCAACTCTATATTGCTTGAACTTGGTTGGCAGAGAAATCATGAATGGTTTTCTCTGGGATACTGTAGGTGGCTTATTCTTTCTTTTGGCCTGGCAGAGCCTATTCAGTTTATCTTTTTGAGTTCTACAGGATTCAGCTTTGAAAATTAAGGCGTCGTTAGCTGCTATGGTTGACAAAGTATTCATAAATGCAAAGTGCAAAAATAAAATGTACTTAAAAATTTGACCCTACTACATGTTTGTTTTTTAATTTTTTTCCAAACCGTTATAAATTTGTTCCTTGATAGAAAACTTGTCTGGGAACTTAATTCAGTTCAATAAAGTTTTAGCAGATATTAAAATATTTTTAACTTTAGTTTTTAGAATAGTTTTAGATTTACAGAAAAAGTGTGGAAGTAGTACAGAGAGTTCCCATATACCCCACACTTGGTTTCCCCTATTATTAACATCGTTCATTAGTCTGGTATATTCATTAACAATTAATGAACCAATATTGATACATTATTATAGGCTAAAGCCCATACTTTATTGTCTTAGTTTTTACTTAAAGTCCTTTTTCTTTTCCAGGATAGCTGATATATTTTATACATTTATATTGTATGTTTTCATCTGGTATGGTAATGCCATGAAGCTGTATAGTAAATGCTATTTCTCTTACAAATAACTTGGAATTTAGGGGAAGACTACATAAAGCTTCGCCACAATGAGTTCCTTCTATACTTTAATGCACAAATGTCACATGAGTGAAAATAAGTAACCTTTCATTTTTTTCTCCATTTTGTGTTCAGTGGAACAGGTTCCTGTAGAACCGTACAACATCCCTCTGTCCCAGGCCGAGGTCATACAGGAAGGGAATGATGTTACTCTAGTTGCCTGGGGCACTCAGGTCAGTGACACGTGTACCCACCAGTAATGTTCATGTTGTACTTGGAAGCTCCTATTTTTAATCACAGTACTATGAAGAATTAAAAACGATGTTTTCCTTACATCAAATTTAGGTCTTGTTTGGTGCTACACCTATATCTGGTTCTCACTGATTTCTCATTGAATGTGAGGTGCTTATTCAGTCATGTTAAAACGTATCTTGTTTTCAGAAACATATTAAAAACAATTTATTTTGCAGCATGTTTTATCCTCACTACTTGTTGCTGCACTTGACATACTATTTCCTTTTTCATCTCATCCTCTGCCATCTCCCGTGATTATTTTGCTAACCATGTGGACCCATCCAGTGGTCCAGCCTCAGAATTCTACCTTTCTCTTTCCAGTAAACCTCACCACTGATTTACCTCTACATTCACCAGCGCTTGTTGTTACATTGCTCTGTCTTCAAGCATTTAAGCTCATGGCTCTTTTTCTCTGGCCTTCTATCTCTTCTTCTCTTCTTTTAAAGAAACAGTCAGTTGTTCTTTTTTCTGTGTACAGGAAATATTTGTTTATTTTAGAAAATTTAATATGGTAGTATAAAGAAGATAATGCAAATCAATTGCAATACGACAACTTCCTCCTCTCTTCACTTGAGTTTTGGCTCGGAGAGATATAGTCCTCATGGTTTCTCATTTCCAGTGTGGGAAACAATTTTAACCACATCCTTGTCATTCTCAGCTTGTGTCCTTGCTTCTTTTTAATAGGAAGTTAGAATGTATTAGATACTAACTCCTGTTCATTGTTTTCCCTTTATACCTATCACTTCTTCCAGTCATTTCCTGTTTTCCTTGTCTTCAAAGGAGAGGTGTCTTCTTGTCATAGCTAATCTGTTTCAGATTAGATTCCATTTACTTTCTCCAGGACTGTGATATTCAGTTAGTCTCTCTCTCTCCTGCATTTTCTTTCCATGTCCTTATATTAAAAAGGTATGTATCTCTTCGCTATCTAAAAAGTACCTTTTCCACCATACTTTTCTCTTAAATACCAATATATTTCCCTCCCTTATTCACACAACTAGAACAATTTCTACCACCAGTATTTAATTCCTTAACTTCCAGTGATCTTGTACCTTATGAGTGCTATTCCCACCAATTCACTAAACCTATTTCTGCTAATATCACTAACCTTCTAATTGTAAAATCCAACCCTGTCCTATATTGCTATGGTATTAATTCTGCCCTTTACTTCTCTCTACATGTTTTCCCTAGAAACTTCACCTGCTCTTGCGACTTTATTTACCTCTGTGTGCTGATATCTTTGGAATCAGTATCTGTGGCTGTGACCGCTCTCATTATCTCTTAGAACCTCTTTCCAACTGTTGTCTAGACATGTGTTTTTTTTTTTTGTGGAATAGGGTGTTGAACATATCTAAAACAAATTTAACAATTCTCTATAAAAATCAGTTCCTCCTACTTTAAATACTACCTCTATTAATGATGTCAGAACTCAACTAATGATGTAGGCCTGAATCTCTGTAGTCATTCTCTGTATATTTTTCTCCTTATTTCAGGTTCATGTGATCCGAGAAGTGGCTTCTATGGCTCAGGAAAAGCTTGGAGTGTCTTGTGAAGTCATTGATCTAAGGACTATACTACCTTGGGATGTGGATACAGTTTGCAAGGTATGGATATAGTATTGATCGAGTGTCATTTCCTTAAGATCTTGGGTGAACTTTGTTGGATATTTGCGAAGAATTATTTTGAAATTTTGAGCTTTGTGAACATTTTTGATTGATTTAAAAATTTAAATTTATACCATGAAAGAAATTTATGCTATGTAATAAGCTGAATGCAGGAAATAAATCACATTAGGTTTTTCCTCCCACAGTTCTCTATGTTTAGAATATTATAAAACGGTGTCCTTCATATTGCCGGCTTGGGTTGAGTTTTATGAGTAACGGAGTAGTGCAAGTAACCACAGAGGTCATCTTTGTTTTTAACTTCTGATTGGTTATGGTTTGATCAGTGGGTTAATATAGTCAGATAAATGTTTTGGTTGAATTTTCACTTGTCTCTTCTCCAAAAGAGATGGAGATGGAACATTAAAAAACAAACAAAAAAAACCCCCTCTTTATATAGCCTTTATACTGTAGATCATATTTTGAATATTATGTTGTGGGATTTTAGCTGCTCTGATTTTTACTTTTCTAAGTTTCTTCTTGAACTTTGGCCAGATTAGGTTGATCTTGTTTCTTACTATTAATAGGATTGATGTAGTCCCCTCTCAAGAATATAATTTAGTTCTCATATACTGGGCTATAAGTGATATCTTTCATATCAATGTCTAGATAAAGTGCATCTACTCCCATATTGGTATAAAGTAAGGTTAAGCTCTTTTTTTGTAATGGCTTTATCTACTAAAGTTTAGGTAACATTGCATGTTTTTTTTCTTGATTTGTTGCTATAGCAAATGAGTTGTAAGATCTTGAAGTATTTTACATTTATTATTTTTAAGAGCTTTGGCATTCTCATAGCTTTACAAGCCATCTCTTACCTTAGTTACATAGAAATAATCTGCAGTTACTACTGCTCTAAAAGTATAGCATAGACAGTTTTTAGGTGAAGATTGTTTTAAAGTTTAGTGGAAGATTTAAGATTTGGTATAGTAAATGTTCCGTAGACTCACTTGACACCATCTAAACACTTGACATGGTTATAGATGGTTTCAACAATATTCTAAGTCTTTATATTTGTAGTTTCCATAATTAAGAGCAGAATTTCGGTTTGAATTATTCTTAACTGAATGAAAGTAATGCTTTTTGCAGGCATTTTAAAATAAATTCAGACACTGGGTTTCTTTCAACTATCCAAGTGTTCCAACTCATGGTTAAAATGGAGCTGATATACTTTGCCCAAGAGTGGGCATCTGGTTTGCAACACGTATCCCCCACTTATCTTGGAGTTGATAATATGAATGGTATTTCTGCGTGGAGATATGATGTTTTGTCATGGTACAGTGGGGCATACTGATATATGGTCAAGGCAAGTATTTTTAGAATCTTATTTACGTATTAATACATTCCAAAAGCATCTGTAGTAGCTCATGACAGAAACAAACAAACAAAACAAATAACACTCTAAGTTGATAACTGTGAAAGCAAAGTAAGGAGAAGTAAAGGAAGAAAAAAGAGGAAAATTATTTATATCTGTATTAATTTGCTTGTGTGGACCTCCTCCACTTTATTAAGTCTACTATTTGCATCTTTATGTGACCCTGGAATGTAGATACTGTTTCCTTAGGACTCTATACTACTGGAAAACTTGAAAGAGGAGAGTAGAGACCTCTCCTGAATGAGAAAGTGATGTAGCAAACCTCTGCCTTGTTAGTGTCATCGTTTTAGTTTTGTGTTGGGATGCTTTTATCATATCGTTTTTCTGGTTGATGATCCTCCAGTTATGACAATGAAAGCCAGCTTGTCATTTCTTGATTACTTTGGGTCTATTTGTGACTCTCTTCGTTGGTCATCACGGCACATCTACTGTTTTCATGTGTCAAAAGAGAAAAATTTTTGATTCTTAGCATGTTTTCTAGGATTTAGAGATGGTTTTAAAAAAAAGGACCCTACAACCAAATACTCATATTAAAAATGAGATTTTTTTTGTTTGTTTAACCATAGCTAAGCTTTTATTCTTCATCTTTATGAATTCTGTAGTAATCAGAAGTTATGTTTATTATCTTTTTTGGTTAGTGCTGTTTTATCAGTTGTTTTTATCTTATAACAATTAGATCCCTTAGCTTTATTAGTTGTTAAACTCAGTACCAAAATGCATCTTTTGGAATATCTAATCAAGAAAAGCTTATTAAAGGTAAAAATGATATATCGAACATATATATTAGTATACTATGCATAGTAAAATGATTCTGGAACAATTGAGAAATTGGTTAATGTAATCTGAATTAAGCTATGTTTTTAAAACATAGTCATACTTTTTGCTTAAGCCTTGAAGTGTTGTTTGAAAGTTAAAAGCCTAAGAAGTTACTTGGGGACAGACAAAGAAGCAGTTATTTTTATTTTTATTTTTTGAATGTTGCTGACGGAGAGTTACAGGTCTAAAAACTGTAGCTCGTTTTAATTCTGAACTTGATATTAAAGCTGGAAGCCTCTGAAAATCAGAATAGAAATTCTTAAGTTTGAGATGCTTAGGAGACAAGAGACTTACCTTGGGGACAGAGACCTACCCTGTGGGTTGGGATGGAGTGGCTTAAAAACATCAGCAATGAGTGTTGAAAGCTCTGAAATGAGTGATAATTTGACATTGATGATCTGAGGCTGCTTTTTACTTGGGAGAGGGGTGCCAATTTAGTCTCAACTAGAAGCTGAGAATCTAGATATATAGAACCCGTATTTCATGGGGTTGTAATGACAGAATTGGAAACTCAAGGGGTCTTAAATACATAGTCATTCTTCCTTTTCAGATATTTGCCAAACTCTAAAGATATCTATGGTGGGAGCTAAGCAGAAAATGCCTGAAAAGCTAAGCCATCACTTGAAGCAGAAGTGACAAAGACCAATTATACTCTCAATTGAAAGTTATGGAATCAGGTCTTATGATTAGAGACAAACCAAAAGTACATCGAATCTTTCCAAACCCGCAATATAGCCTCTACTCCTCTCAGTTCCATATTGGACTAATGTAACTTACCTTCTCTATCTGCCAGGAAGAACAAGGAATCAGTTTTCCCATCTGGAGTTTCGATAAACTAGCATTCAATAAAAAGTTGCTAAGTGTATGAAGAGACAGGACCATTTGATCAAAAACTAAGAGAAAACATAAATAATAGAAAGGAGAAATACAGGTGATCCAGATATGCGAGTTAGCAGACGAAGACTTTATCATGATTATATTTAGGAACATAGAGAAAAAGGGAACAAAAGAGGTACGAAAGTGGAAAATTGCCTTAGAGAATTGTGTGTGTGTGTGTGTGTGTGTGTGTATCAAACATTGTAGAACCAAAGAAAAATACTTGACAATAAGAACTCAATGGATGTGTTTACAAATATATTGAAGTGAATAAATAAATTATAGTATTTATAAACTAGAAGGCAAGTTAATAGAAAATGTTTAAATTGAAACATAGAGAAAGAAGTGGACTAAAACAGATAAGAGCATAAAATATTTTTGGGATTCTGGTCAAAAGACTTGTCTTATATAGAATTTGATTTTTAGAAGGAGAAGAGAAAATGAGTTGGTTAGAAACAATATCTGATTTTTTTCTCATGGAAGTTTTAAAACACCAACCCATGTATTCAAGAGGCTTTGTGAGCTTATACAAAAGATGTATTCAAAGAAAACCACACCCACGTACACTATGGAATGACATCTTAAATTACTGAAGATGCCAACCTAGAATTCTTTACCCAGTGAAAATATCCTTCTAAAGTAAGAAGAAATAAAAATAGTTTAGGCAAATACAAGTTGAGAGAATTTATCACCAGCAAGCTTTCACTAAAAGAAACAATGTAAGGGAGTTCCTTAGGCAGCAGGAAACTTATACTAAAAAAAAAAATCAGGGAGCCTTATGTGGAGTTAAAATATTATTTTATTGTAGGATTATTAGTGTAAAATTCTTATAAGATTATAAATCAAGGATGGATGTTGTAATTTCTATAGGAACAAGTGAAATAATAGTGATGGTGTGCATATCCAGCAAGTTAAAAACGGAACTACAGATTAATAAAAATATTTAGTTAAAAGAAACAAATGTATGTACAAAAACAGGTGTGTCAATAGAAAACAGTAAGATGACAGGTACAAATACAGGTGTATGTTCATAATTAAATACAAAAGGATTAAATAATCCTAGTAAAAGTTTTAACATTGTCAGACTTCATGTAAAAATAACAAAAACATGCAGCTTAAAAGAGAAATACCTTAAATATAAGGATGCAGAACTGTTGAGAAGAAAGGGATGGATAAAAGAAAGCTGGTCAGTTATACTAATTTCAAATAAAGCTTTATGGCCAGAAGCATGGCTAGAAAGAAAGAGGAACATTTTGTAATGCTAAAGGGATCACACTGCAATGCAGATGTCACAATCTTAAATCTGTTATGTCCTCAGTTGCAAAATACATAAGGCAAAACAGACAAAACATAAAACTAAAAAGATATTTAGACATTTCCTCAGTTACAGTGGAAGACTTTAAGACGCCCCTCTTAAAAGCTGATCAAACAGGCAGATAAAACCAGTAAGTATATAGACAATATGAACTGTTATGAAACTTGTTCTAATTGTGCACCCAACTATGCAAGAAATTATTTTTTTAATCGAATGTGTCAAAATTGACTAAATGCTGGGATATAAATATAACTTTAACAAATTTCAAAAGTCTGAAATCATTTAGAGAATGTTCTCTGACAAGACTGGAATTCAATTAGAATTGAGGGGAAAAAAAATCAGGAAAAGCCCCAACTTCCTACAAATTAATTTGTTTGAATAACCATGGATTATAAAATAAAGTATAGTAGAAATTAGAACATTTATTAAACTGACTGGTCTTGAAGATGCAACATATCAAAAGTTTCAGAATTCAATTAAAACAATGCCGAGGGAAGTTTACAGCTATAAAGATATGTATATTTAGAAAACAAATATAAAGAACAACAACAAAAAAATAATAAT